GGGCGCTGTGTGTGTCTGGGGGCGCTGTGTGTGTCTGGGGTACTGTGTGTGTCTGGGGGTGCTGTGTGTGTCTGGGGGTGCTGTGTGTGTCTGGGTACTGTGTGTGTCTGGGGGTGCTGTGTGTGTCTGGGGGTGCTGTGTGGGGGTGCTGTGTGTGTCTGGGTGCTGTGTATGTCTGGGGGTGATGTGTGTGTCTGGGGGTGCTGTGTGTGTGTCTGGGTGCTGTGTGTGTGTCTGGGGGTGATGTGTGTGAGTGTGATTTTTTTTAAATTTAAATTATTTTTATTTTTTTTAATTAATAATAATAATTTTAAAAAAAAGTTATATCCCCCCCCTCCCTTCTTACCTTTAGCCTGGGAGGGGGGGGCCGTTTTGCCTGGGACGGGGGGGAGCCGTTCTGCCATGGGAGAGCCATGCTGCCTGATCCCTGGTGGTCCTAGTGGTGAGCGTGAACTCTAGCCTGTAGGCTAGAGTTCACTCTCGCGAGATCTGAGCGTTGCCGCGGTAACCGCGGCAACGCTCAGAATCCCGCGAGAGGACCCGGCGGAGCTGCTGGATAGAGCTCCGCCGGTCCTCTCCTCCCTCCCTCAAACCCCAGCAAGCGGCCGCCTGGAAGTGTCTCTGGGCCGGTAAAGGGAGATCTTTGATCTCCCCACCGGCCCATGGAGGCACACAGCGGGGCCGGCGCTCGGGTAGCGCTGGCCCTGCACGGGCTGGCAGGGGAGATCCTGTGATCTCCCCTGCCGGCCTCGGCCCCACGGCCATCGCGGCCCACCGGGCATTTGCCCGGTATGCCCGATGGCCAGTCCGGGCCTGGCTATCAGCGTCAGGAGAATAAAATTAAAATTGCTTTGGCATTAACAGAGAGGGCACTTGCTTATTAATATCTGCAAGTATCATAAAATCAGATGGGCTAGCCGAGGCGTATTTCACCGATGTGAGCCTTAATTGTGGTATAGCCTGACAGGCTGAGGTCACCGCCAGCTCCGACAATGAGAAAGATAATAAAAAATTAGGCCATAACCACACGTGAGGAGAGTCCCTGTACAATACCAAAGAGGTCCACAGAGTCCCAGTGTCCCGCTACTGGATGCAGCAATTGTAGTCTGCCTTCCTCATGTCTCCCGGTTGTTTGGGGAGTATGGACATGGTACCATGGTGCAGACTGCTGTGTAGTGGAGTTGGTCCATGGCATTGACTTCCTCAGATGCTTTCCCGGTGCAGGTTGTTGGCACAGGCTTCAGGAGCGTTGGTGAATTGTGCTCCGCCGAAGTAGGTCTTGCGCCCGTGTCAGGAGAGTGCCGCTGCAGTGTGGGTAGGCATAGGTATGCAGGCTGCTGTGGTGCTTGCTTGTCTTGGAGTCTTTTCCTGGGGTAAGTACCTAGGAAGTCGAGAGCCATCGAGAAATCCCCCCCCCAGTGTCAGCTCGGGCGCGTCCTGAGCACCGTTTTAGCGCGCCACAAAAGAGTTACCCTCTCTGTCTGTGGAACTGCTGCGCCGCCGGCCATTTTAGTGTGGCCTCGTGGGAGCAGACTGCCTTCGACGTTTAGCTGCACAGGAGAGATGTGAAGGTGCGAGCTTGCCTGGTGGGGACCGAGATAACCCCCACCGGTCCAAAGGGGGGGTTAACGGGGCTCCAGGAGGTTTCAGCTCGTGTCCAGGACCCTCTAGATTGGGAGAGCGGCTGTCCCTCCCGCTCCACAGGTAGACTACGCCGCACCATCTCCTCCGGTTGTTTCTGTCTCGATCTCTGCTCCCAGCCACTGCCAAGTGAACCTGCCCAGTCAGAGCTCCGGTATATTTCCACCGGGTGCAGATGAAAAGCAAAATTTCGGTTAAAACCCAGGTTAATGTTGAGGACAGACGAGGAACTCAAGCAAGGCACGTCTGGTCGCCATGAGTGTCAGGCCCCGCCCCCCGTTTCATTTACTTTTATTGTACTATACTTCCAGCGTCTGAAAGTCGAATAGAATAGTATATTTGAGTACATATTTAGTACAAGTGTTAAAAAAATATATGTGCAAAAATATATTATCTCTTAGCTGCTACCACACTGGACTATTTTGAAAGAACTTAAAATGAATGGTATATAAAGACGTTTTTCTGTTTGCACTAGGTGTTGAAGTTATCTTTTCTCACTATTTAAGCGCTCCACTGTATTTAGTAAAAATATTCCAGTGTTTGAAAACTTACAATTAAACAGGCGCGTTATTGCTTTAAGAACTTACACTTTGCATTTTCTTTGCACCCAAGGAGATGCATGTACAACAAACAGTGGTAACAGAAAACAGGAGATATTTACATTAAAACTTTAAACACTGCAATGCTTTAAAAACAACTCCCCACT